CTGTGGCTGCGGCAGCATCCGCTACCCCTTGAAGTGTCTGCAAAAGCCAGACCGACGATGAGGGGAGGTGGGTGTGCACCACCTCCGCCACGTGGCCAGGGTCTACCACAGCTTTAAGTGTCCTGGATGCAAATCGACGGTGTTGAGTACGTGTGTCTTGGAATGCTTGGTGCATCGGCGTTGGGGTTAAAAAGCCCTGCGTCAGGGCAGCCCCTATGACACAAATGCCAAGCAACAGCTTCATGATGCCACGCTGTCGTGCAGGGGAAAAGGAGAAAACGAGTGGGAAGGCTGTGAGCGCGTCCGACGAAGCAGAGTGTACCAGAACACCTTTGTGTACCCTTCTCGTGAAGAACATCGGCCTTTGTCCCCGGGGTCACATAAAAAAGGTAAGGTGAAGCTAGAGAATCAATCGGCCGGGATATGATACTAACCCGCAACCTCTCCGCACAACCCGATTAATCCCACTTCCACAACCTTTATGAAGCCGCCATGACCGCACGCCCCCCTCCGATATCACAAAGCCTTCTTTCACGACATTGAGTGTCCTCGTTTTGCCCCAAGTGGCCATGTGCGCGCCGTAAAGTCCACGAGACCGGGAGGTCCTCGCTCGCCCTACGGCCTCGCCCTACTTCAAAGGTTGCCACCACCACCGTGGTTGGTGACCAAATAATCGCCTTTCTACCACATCCGGTCTCGCGTGTTCCTCCCAAAACTGCCTGAGGGCCGTCGAACATTGGGATGATCGGTCCTGGCCAGGAATGGGAAGTGGACGATCGAAAGTCATGGTATTTACGACCATTTTTATGTTGTCTTTGCGCACACTACAGATTTGTTCATCTCTGAAGATTTAACCTGAAGGCGCTTTGGTTCCTCTTTGGGAATGGTTGTTTGAAATTCCTTCCCGCAGAAATTCGATCCCGGAGCAAAGGCAATCTTTTCGAGATCGAGAACGTGGACTGCGTAGGAGAGGTCTTAAGCGTGATTCATACAAGCTGGTCATCGAAGTACAGAACCGCCTTGCAGGATGGCCGCTTCAGAGCTCCCGAGTTCAGGGAATGTACCTCATGGTCTCGGCCAGGTTCAGGGCCCAGCTGGCGCGACAACTGGAATGCCAACGCCTGACATTGATTCGGATCTGCATTTGATATGGCCTGAGGAAGAGGATGGCTTTGGCTGGGATGAACAGGAGGACCAAGTGATTGGCCGGGAGGAAGAGGAGGAACCGGCAGCAGGGGAGGAGGATCAGGGCTCGAGGTACGTGCATGCACATTCCCTGACTTGCGTAGATGGCCCATGTGCCTGACCGTGCCCGAAAGTGTGTCTTATGCTGTCTTGTCGGCGCTTGTCTCATGCCCCCTCTTCGGGGTCGGACGTGTCCATGTCGATAGGCGCCTCCCCCACATCCATCGCACCTCCCCATCCCGCCAGTCCTTTCTTGGCCCGATTCATGACGTGCTCTTTCGCTGGAAAAGAGGTAGAATCGGCGTTATCTCAACCACTTACAGTGACTCTTCCCTCCCTTCCCTCCACCACACCCTCCTTCCTCAATCCTTCCCCTGCCCACCCCGCCTGCCTGACGAAGCGCGTCCTTCTTGCCATCAATGCCGTTCATCAACCTGGAGCGAGACGACGCAGAGACGGATGCACCAGATGAGGAGGAGGAC